GCCATTATCCCTAGAGTATACTATTAAAAAAAAAACCCGATAATAAGGTTAATTTGGGATTAAAATTTTTTTAAATAACTAAAGATTCGTAAGGTCTTTTTGTAACGTCAAATAGTTTCATTTCGATGCTTTGCCGTATGTATTTAATGAATGTATGTCGAGCAATGTATGCTTGTGTGATGTTGTGAAAACGTTTTGATAATTATATATATATATATATATATATATATATATACATGGCAATGCAGAGCGCGTTCATAGTCAATCGAACACTTCAAGAATTTCGAAAATTTCGAGTACGTTCCTCCGTCCGAACAGGCCACATCATCCTCAATACAATCGAAAGTGAGCGCGGTTTCAGCACTGGATAGCAACAGATGATATAATGAGTTTCCTTACTTTTGCATGTTATGGGCGATAGTCCACATGAAGCTAACACCTGCGCATTAGCAAAAGCATCAGCAGCAATTCTTACACGTGGACTACAGTATAGTTCACTCACTTTATAATTTCTATTTTCAAACGCCTTTACTTTTATACCGAGACGCACGACCTCATTTGATTACTTCACCCTTCCGGTGATTTTCAAAAGGGACAGAAGATGGTTTTTAATTCGTACTAGTCTGCTTTGACACCGGAAGTATTGTATTAATAGAGTTACATCGAAATAAAGCTATATGGTAAAAGTTGTTTTTGTTAGAACGAGCTTTATAAGTAAACGTCACGTATGTAGGAGGGTCCACCACACGCATTAGATATATCAAATGCCAATTGATTCGTAATATGGACTCAAAAGGCGTATGAAATACTGTCATTGTGTATAGCCAACTGTACAATTCACAGTATTACCATAACTTTACGCTTTATTCCAGGATGGACTAGATAATCTAAATTACCTACTTATATTTTGCATCTATTTCTGTATTATGTATGATATATACCTGAAAGAAGCTTTATATCTAGCTTAATAGGATAGTGAACGCTTTGTTTCGTCTTCCGATTGAGACGCAGCGTAATTCATATGGTCCTATGTTTTCATGTGCTAACGCAACTCAGTATCGGTATCGAACAGGAAAGGACGTCAAGGCTATCGGTAATGGCAATAGCGCTGTAAATGTAAATGCTGAATATCGGAGATGATAAAATGTTTCCGGATGTTTCGGCGGGGCGGGAGAGGCATTTTATATAAAAGCCAAAGAAAATATTTTTAGTTCTAGAAGCTGGGCCAGTGTAACTGCCAGAATCCATACGAGTCAAATAGACAGCAACAACAACAATAACTAAACAGTAAGTTTTTAGTATTTTATAGAAGAAAATTTTACACCACTCAAAGCGCTGGTCGCTGGGTGAAATTCACAAAAATTCTCTATATAACTCTATAGACCTGCATAGCTGTCGCGTAGACGACCGTATGCTTCAGGATGAAATCGTAGCAGAGTACAACACTTAAATTATATAAATGTTTTTTTCTCGACAAAACTTTTCTTTACTTTTGGGGATTGTAGTACAAAAACGACATTTTGGTGGTCTCCTCACCTTAAATTTGGCATTGCTTTATTGTGCCACGTGATTAAAACCTCAGTACATAGAAGCATTAAAATGTCTGAAATTTATAGAATATTCGATAGCGAAAACTAGAATCCGTTCGAGAAGTTCTGTCGATACTGCTGTTAGATATGGATACGGAAGGAGGTGGAATTATGGGCCAACGATCATGCAAGACTACCACTAACCACAACCACTAATAATTTCGTGCGTAGAAATGAGTTATTCTACATTATCTGCCCGCCTAGGGCAAGCTGTGACTGTGGCTAAAGAAAAATTATAATTCGCTTACCGTGTGAAATCGGGCTTTGTATGGCCTGAGCACCTGTGCATTGATGAGCCGCGCTTTGTTTGGCAAGGCCTGCAAAATTAATTTGAACGGGTTAGCTACCAGGGTTATAAAGTTTTTATGGATATTTAGGTGATAATTATTAAGGGAAATTTTTACCTATTACTACGCGTAATCTGATGTTTCGTCCGAATGATGCGTTATGCTAATAGGGTTCTCAGTCTCTCTCAAAGGCAACTATTTATGACACGCTATCGACAATGATATGTGGCACGACAAATACGAAACTTCACTTTAATTTTTAATGCGACAGAGGCCATTTAAATTTATCAATTTCTCGGTAAAATTTTTGTTTTCAGTGACATTTATTGCTTGTTCTCAGTTTGCCTTTTATGATGTAGCTTTAGGGGAAGAAAAACTGATTGAAAGCAAACGTTTTCATGCAGTCAGAGCGATCTAACTTATTCAATAATTTGGCTATGCAAGGCGTAGTTTGTTTACCGTCATTGCCAGTCGTTAGAAATGCACTTCAGCAATAGTCGACAAACCAGGATCCATAAAACTATAGCGGATGCAACCTTCCATGTCCGATATCTCGACCAGACGGATGTGGCCCACCAGATCTCCAGTAAACACCATAAACTGGTACAGCTGCACTCTGTTTTACAGTCATACTCTTCCAGTTAGGTTGCATCCACCCATTGATGTGGCCACCAGCGATAATAGTAGAAACCCCATTTTTATCAGTTCAACAAAACAATGGCTCACTATTATAACGTGACAGCCCAGACATGCAAATATCTTTCACTTTCATGCAGTGCCGATTGGCTCGCTTTCTTAGCTTTTTCATTTGACCGAGGCAAACGAACATGGTATTTTTACGTACACTCGATTCACGTGTTAACACTCGTGGATTTGGAAATGAGCCGACTTCCGCCATAGTTCTGTACACATCGTAATTTACCTTCACTTAGGATCCACCGTAAAACTAACCTTTGAGTCTAACGTTTGTAATTTATGGAGCCAAGATACTTTTACTAGTAGATCCATTATTGTTAACGAACCGTCTCTACCGCTGTAGTTCTAATATGGAACTCATATTCGTAAACCATTCGGGTTTTCCACATCCGGACAATGCCTTTGGATGAACATGAGTACAAGTGCATCTAAGAAACAGAAGTCGCAAAATGTCGTATTGTTGTTATAACTGTTGATACTGGCCGACCCAACAGATTAGCAGTAGAGGGGCATCTCACGCTCGTCTCCTGTGGGAAGTCACCCGATTGACTTATCGTTTTGGACTTGTTTTCATTTAACCCGCTGTCTATTCGATGGTACAAATTCAATTTAGCGCATCGATCACGCCGTGGGTCGGCTGAGCGCATGTCTGTATGGTAATACATGCAAGCGTTGATGCGGCATAGGAACGGGCACAGAAAAAGACACTAACTGCAGGTGGAATTCTACACGATATGTATAAACATGTATAAAACAAGAGCAATACTTTACCTGTTCTTCCTCGAAACGAATTGATAAGCGGTAGTCGATAGAAGCTCGTGCGTGTTTAGCGCTGATTGGCTAACCAACGTCCTATTCCCTTTTAGAAGCTGAGGCGTATTTCGGTACACACGTAAAAATGAACAAAATAGCCATTGACGGCTTCCTGCTGATCTGTCTTATCGTCGCGTGAGTTTTTTACCGTTAATATCAGTTTGTCGTTACCTATTGATAAGGAGAAACACATGATAAGGTGCTGCTTGACATCGTCGAAGACTATCTGAAATATATTTAATTATAATATCAATCCAAATCCAAATTGAACATTGAACGCTTTTGTTGAAATTCTATATAAATAACTGTTCGAAGGTTTCTTTCAGCAGAATTCGTACCGTATGCTTTGCTGATATACTTCTGAATCTCCTGCGTAACGATATCTTTCCATATCGGCAAGATAAACCTAAAGAAAGCACTGCGAAAAATTGCGCTGACCGTGGTTTGTAGCTTCCTGAAGAGACAAACTTTTTAGAAATCGTCGCAGACCGTGAAAAATTTATTCTGTATCTCGGATTGCTGATTTTTCTAACTAGCTGGCTTTAAAATAGTCGCATGTCTTAGGTGATAGGAGTCTTGGGTCGGCGTTGGTTTCTTATATGGAAAGCTTATATCTGACTGTAACTGACGTAGCAAAATTGCCTTTCTTCAAACATCGCATAGCGCACTTTAGAGATGAATTAAATTTTTATACAAGTTTACTATGTTTGCCAGTTTTACTACGCTGAAGAAATAGATGCTGCCCAGGCCCATTCTGTACTGTTTATGGCCAGTATGGTTTATCGGGAGAAATAGCCCAAAGATCGTTCTGTCGCTTTCGTTTAGCAGTGGTCACCCAATCACGAAAAAAAAGTCGATGACAAAAAAGGAAGAAGAAAAAGAAAGAGAGGCACGTGAGTGGCCATGACGTAGCCAAAAAAATTAAGCATCCACTACTAAGCAGTTTTAGCCCTTTGGGAAGAAGCTGGCTACGAAGGGAAGCTCGACATTTAGGCGTCGCATGACTCGATGCAAAAGACTTTACTCAATTCCAGCTCCATCTGCAAAACTCTACAAGAACATGCTGAAATCGACTCACCTCTAAAGCGGTGGATTATATCTGGCAAAATATGGATCACATCCGACAATGATGCGCGAAATAGATCATGATCAAAGCTAGAAAAAACTCCATGAGCCGTGACAAAGCTCGACAAATAATTCGATGCAGTGCTCTTCAGCTTGAATCTTGTATCATCAGATTATCATCCGAAATTTTTTCATCGTATTAATTTGGTTTCAATATAATGATACAAAGATTACCCCGTCACAGTTTTTTTTTTGTCAGAACTTGTAGAGTGATGAATGGTGTGACCAAAAAAACAGTAGGAAGTTATTAACATGTTTAGATTCGTAATATTTTTTTAAAATATAAAAAAATAGTTTCCTTACTTTTGGCGCAATACTTTTTTGTTGCTAAGGAAAATTCCTCTTGGAGAATATACATACGATGTCGTATACATAGATCTAAAAATGACACGTAGAGCATGGCGCTGAATGCCAGTTGTACCGTATGGATCTTTATTTCAAAGATATTTTTTCACTGCTAACTTGGGTTGATTCTTTTTTGCATCTGCAGCGTATCAGCAGTGTCTGCACCCGTATGCCCTGATCTGAACTGCACTGGCCAAGCTGCTTGCGAATTTGTCGTTTGTCCATGCGGGAGCTATCGTCCAGAATGCTCGTGCTGCGACCAGTGCTTTACGGTGAGCTACACCGAGAGCGTTGGCTGGGTCACCGACCCAATTACGGTTATTCGCACATACATAGTAATTAACACGTAATCAATTCAGGCATCTGTTAATTAGGATACGTTATGGGGAGTTCCTGAACCCCCTATAGAAATAAATGTCTATTCTATCTCAAATATCTGCATGTATAAACAATGTGTAACGGTTTCATGTACGAAACAGCAAAAGTACGATTTGCAATACTCTAATGGTGAAACAAGGCTTTGAAGGGTACGTTATCTGACGAAAGCCGAAGAGTGTTGCTCCCTAAGAGAAGAGGATGTGGGATCTTAAAGGCACAGAAGCGTTCAAGTCACGACTATTATCTGTCGAGCGCTAATAGAGTAAACGGATCAGCTCACAGGGAACAGATGGTCACGATTATTCCTGACACCCTAGGATATCTCACAAACACTTATTATGCATAAAACAGGAGCAACTGTACCACAAACTTGACAAAGCCTAGAAGTTTATAGAGCAACAAAAATACGTGTATGTGTTAAAACGTTTAGAAGGCCATTCGTGTCCTAAACTTTTTTTCATTACACGGACTACAGGAAGGAGATTCTCGAAGGCAAACTTCAAGTAGCGACTTAGCTTCCTGCATAAACCTGCCCTAGTCTAACAAACGAAAAAGCAAAAGAAGTAGCAAACAGGCCTGGTTCGATTACTTCGAGAACTAAAAGTGATTTACTAGTTTTTTTTGCCTTCGTCCTGCAGTGTCCCGGTGCTTACTGCAGCCTCATCCCGCCAACAGTGTGTTCCAATGGAATGTGCAAGCTACACGAAGGATTAAGCTTGAACAAGGCTCTTAACAGCAGGGGACCGCATGGAAAGTGCCCGTGAAGACCTGTCAAACGGACTGAATCTGTGGCCGTGATCAGGTTCAAATAAATGACGTGTATTACCTCAACTATAGGAATATATAGGAATAGTTATAGGACCTGTTGATATAAAAAGGGCTGCAATGCTCAAGTATATAAAAGAAACTGCTAAAAGTTCAGATTTCTGACTCAGTCATTAGAATAATTGTAATGTCACGTCAAACGAATTGTTCTATTGTTTAGCCATTGTATCCTATAGAATAATGTTAGACTATAATGTTTGGTTTTCCGAATACTCTAGAAATCACGTGTTCGTGAGCCTGACACTAGTTCTCATGAATCATAGGAGAGCAGGAGGAATTATTTACATTAAGGAGTGAGGCTAGACTACAGTTCCCGTCAGTCGACTCTGGATTTCGGTGGGGACATCACTTTTATGAATGTGGTCATAGGTTGATTGTTGTACGCTTATAATCCTCTGTATGCCATTTCCCATATTTTAAAGCAATCGCCAAAATTGCTAGTCTGAGATATGCGACTACTGCTGCCGTGAGATTCAAATGTTTATAGCATGGCCAAAAAATTGTCCTTCGAAGTACCGAAAAAGCTGTTGTTTACATAGAATAGCTGCCTCTAATCGATAGCGACTTATCACAGCACACGGGCCGTTACTGTTGATTTCTCCTTGGGGTTGATTGATGGGGGGTGAACGGCTATGAAAAGGCTTTGCTCACTACACGTAGTGAACGGATCATTGAATTAAAATATAGTAATAAATCTGCAATAAGCTAAATACGGCGAAACACGTAATTTGTGTTGTTTATATCGAAATTGTTATTAATTAACATTATATATTGTATTGTGTTTATATATTTACCGATGTGCTGCAACATTAAGCTCTGGTGTTACGCCAACAAACATCATTCATTGGGGACGAGTTCGATAGGTGAATCAGCAACCCTATTTAGAAACTTTCGATTTTCCCATTTTGTTGGCGTCTTCACGGCACACAATCTAGCGACATAAATGTAAACTTATTCGACGATATCTGAGTAAAAGAAAAATTTAAGGGTGGCAATTGCTGCCTTTGCGTCTCGAGCTCTGAGTAAGACCGTTTGGGTCTATCTCGATCGCAGTGAAGTAATCCTGACGAATTTCACGAAGTGTCAGTGTTAAGGGCTGGATTCATAAAAGCAAGAATAGTCTTGACTCGTTGTCGAGTTTTTGTAATCACTAGCTATACTACAAGTGGTTAGCGCATCGTATCGGTATATCGAGTCCCTGTCATTTTGTTCAAGTTATGCTTGCAATAGTAGACTACTTAACTCAGACCTGTAACCTGTTTCACCTTGAATTCGCCAGTGTCGACGAGTACAGAAGCACCGAACGATTTTATGGACTAGCTGGATTCCTATTTCTATAAACTATGAGTTATTAACTTACAATGATGCCTATGTAGCCTAGCATATTATCATCAATATCTAGCAATATTTAACAATGCTGAATCCATTGGACAGCAAACACTTATAGTCGTTATAACGATACCTATAGGTAATTAGCTATAATAATGAATCTGGATGACGCTTTCGGGAAAAAGTAATGTACGTAACTTGTTAGAGTGCCTCCTACTAATTAGTGTATATAGTATCTTTACGATGTGAGTGAGCGTTAATTTTATATAGCTAGTTACAATGCAATATTGTGGGACATACTGCATGGTCTCAGTATAACTATACAATAGCGCTTGCAGGGAAGTTCGCTGTTATAGCAACAGGGTATGTCGATCATTTGCCGCAAAGACTTCAACAAATGCCAACGGCGGACGCTGACTCCGATCGTCGCACACTTGTCTGCCGTACAATAGAACGCCAAAATAATATCTATGAGTCATATGATTGCAGTTGCAAGCCTCAATAATACAATGATTTATTCGAAATTATTCTTTATCTGAACTTGAGTACGGAGAATACGACCAAAAAATCTATGCGAATGTATTTGCTGTTTTTTTTTTTAATTTCAATATAATATAATTTTGTCACCGAGGCTCGAAACTATGCACCTTGCGATTACCCACATTCGGGTGGCGAAGCGCGTTGGGTTATCTGCTACTACGCTTATAAGTATACATTTCTCAGTATACATTTAAGATCGCAAACTATAGCAGCTGATAGCCGGATTCGTAATCTGTGCTGTAGGGTGACGGCAAGACTGAATTTCACCCAAACAGATCCTGTCTGAGACTCGATTTAACCATAAAGGCTGGTCTGCGTTTTTCGAGAGAACTAAGAGTAAAACGATGCTATATATTCTTATTATTGTACTTTAGATAATAAAGGGACGACTATTTGGTTGGGAGTAACTTCAAGACGTTGCCAACGGGAAACAACAGGATGGGTCGATTTCTGGAATGGCAGTATGTTCTTCTGCTGAAGTTTGTCCATCACTCGCGTGCGTACTATGTCTTGTTTCTTTTCTCAATACCTATATACAGCGAAGTTATGTCACACAATCTGAAGGCCCATTCGACGTCACTCCACTTAGAGATCAGCTGCTCATCGAAGTTCTGTTGATAACACGGTTATACTATTCGTTGCGTGCACGCATAGATTATTCTGGTAAAGCCACAGGTGTTGCAAACCTTTTTCGACGATTTGCGGGGTGCAACAATGCCTGAGGTTACTCCTAGTACCGAACAGAGTTTGCAATCTACAGTTGTGTCGAGAAGACGGTCGATAACGTCTTTGGCCCATATACCACATCAGTATCATTTTTTTGGGAACCTCCTTCGTGGATGGTCCGAGGATTCTCAATTTACAGTAATCTTTGACCGGTGAACAAACTTAAGGATAGAGTTTGCATTGCCATTTCAAACGCTGTACACGAACCAATGGCCAAAAACTCGCTTAACCTAACAGCTGCCATGCAAAAAGACAAGGAAGCTTGGCTTATTATTGAAGCGAGATCTTGGATGTAAAAAAGTTCCAAAAGAAAAATGTATATAAATGCATTCAGTTACTTTGTTCGAAGTCATTTCAAAGCCAGGTATGGCCGTCCCCGTAGCACTCTCATATAGTTGTAGCCGCAGGAAGTGAAACGCAGCCCTCCGTAAATTACCCCAGGACAACAGTTTTCCAGTTTTATATTTGATATCTCGTTTGACATTGCATCAGGCGTCTTTGTTGGCCCACGCCTAAATTGTTACAGGAAAATACAATACCGTTTCCCGGGAACAGAAGTTTTCTCTGAACCAGTTCTTAAGACCGTAACCCCTTCGCCTTGTTCCTAGAACGTATGCAAAGTAAAAAATTCGGTTGCACCTTTGTATGTCTAAAGATAATCCTTGTATTAAAAACGCATTAACAAGAGACTTTCCTCAGTCTACCTGCTACCATGAGCACTAACCTGACAACACCCTCACTTAGAGCTTGGGTGTCCGCTCGTTATTTAAAGAATGGTACATTATAGCTCTTAAAAAAAAAAAAAAGAAAAAATAAAATAAAAGCCACACTGCGAGTCCAAATTCAAACGAAAGGCAATTATATAAGATTTGAGCTTGACATAATCTCTATTATTTAAAGGAGTTGTTTAATATCCCCCAAAACGAATAGCTGAAGGCACAGAAAACCTTGTTATCGATTCTGCTCTGGCGGACATAATATATGATGATTTCTAAAAGATGGAGATGAACGACGGCTGGGCATATGAAAAAAGACTTCCTCCGGTTAATTCTACGTGTTCGTCAGACGGTGCAAGATAACAGACATCTCATATGCAAAAGCCAAAGGAATTACCTGAACAGCTGCTACTCAAAACAAACAATAAGCAGTATTACCTAGAAAAAGGCCCATATGATACTATAATGATAGCATACTCCGTGTAATATATTCCAGTAGAACAAAAGATAGCTATCCATTGGCAGGCCTTCGTCAGCCAAGAAAATATACAAGCTATAACGACTGAATAGTTTGCCTTGGCCCCGCGCTGGGCCAGCAAGGTCGTTGTTACAACCGAAGAGTCAACTCACGCCGCCTGCTACAGTAGTAGAGGCAACTTTGGATGTAGTCGAATGCCTCCGACCTACTTTCTTCAGGGTAAAGAACACTTGCACAAGATTATTGCGGAGCTTCAGTACTGACCATAATTGGAAGTGTTGTCTCCACTCACAAAAAAGGGATTCATTATTGAATAGAGCTAATATTTTCCAGCAGAAACCCCATATGTGTACACAAAAAAAGTACTCGATTTTGTAGGATCCATGGCTGTTTGCTAAGAGATAACGAAGTCCTGAATGAGAGATGTATTGAAGATAACTAATCGTTTGGAACATAACTTCAATAAAATAGCCTTGAATTGTTCGATAAAATAACATAGCAAATTTAATAGTATTATGTTTTTTTGGACTAATATTTAACAATGTCGGTCTTCAGACATCATCTAAATGCCCACAATCCCTATGGATAAAGTAGTAGCGTAATTGTATTACATAAATTCGTACATCTTTGCGAATAAAATAATGAAAGCCTTGAATTGTACTTTTTTATTTTTATGTTCAATTAATTCACAGTATACTTTTCTAATTAGCGAATGGCCTTTTTTGCTGGCCGCCAGATATGCCGAGTCCAACACTTTGGGACAAATCTCTTAATCCCATGGTGTGCGCAGCCGAACTCCAAGGACCCAGTATTTTATGGTAGTGACTCAGTGAGCTGTTGCTTGTATCCATGGGTATTCACTCGACATGACTCGTCCGCTAACGGTATTCTGTAAATTGATGGGTGCTATGCACGCTTATTTACTAGTTGAAGGGGGTATGAAACTGGAAATTTACGACTAGATATCATAGATTTGTAGGCTTATATGACGTTGCCGGCTGCGAAACTGCATTAACAATGAGACGTATGTTCCCTACAAGTTTAACTCATGGGTCTAAAGAATAAATGAGATAATTATGATATAGCATATATTAAAACAAAGAAGAAGAAAACATTTGCGCACAGAATCTTATCAAAGCCATGCGATGGTCGAAATATTGTAAGTGAACTCGTTGATAGCTAGGCGATACCTCGGCATTTAGTAGTCGGTTAGCAATAACTGTGATTAATTAACATGTTCAGAATGTATAGAACAGAAGGGTTAAGTGGGGTATAGAAAGACTCCCTTTTATAACAGATAAAACCCGAGCTCGGGTCATTGCGGTCGTCGATGTTCGTAAATACTAAAATAAAAAAAAAAAAAAAAAGAGGTGATACGACCGTTTTGTTGGCTATTCCCAAAGCTGCTTATTGAACACATACGTGAACGTATCGTTTGCCTGCTATCTATCTCCTTTATCATTAAACATACATACGTAAATTTATTTTATCATTTCCAGTGTACATACTCGCTATATGTATGTACGGATACATGAGCTGGATCGGTATGTACACTATCAAACAGATCTCAACTAACCTCGTGTCTATGGTGTACTGTCCATACAAACACACTCCACTTGAAATGGGATACACAATTGATTGAAAGTAGCAAGTACGGCTTACAAAGCCTCTAGGATTACAAAGTTTGAGCATGAGCTACTCGCCAGATAAAGTTGTTTTCGCTAGCTATCAATGTCGTCCTTGATACCAATAAACATCTGTTCGTGTACTTAAATTGCTTGAAAGATTATGAGACATTTTTATACTCCGATGTTGAATAGTAACATACCGAGAGGTAATCTCTCAAGGTCAAATTCTCCCATGCTGAAGATGCAATAATCTGATTTCCAATACCTCTTTAACTCTCCCCTAATGACAATGGCTATTACGAAAGTTCCTCCGACGAACTACGAAGGAAGTATTACGAAAAAATACATCGGGAACATTTCATAAGCGTGATACGCACTAATCATTTTCGAAAATCCGATTCGCTGTGTGATGACTTTCTATAAGAGTCTAAAGTTTAATTTAACTTAGCTTTGATACTCTAATTGAAACGTGTTTCGTCGGTAGCACACAGCTGATGAAAACTGATGAACTATAATCCTCCATCAGCCTCGATAGCACTTCCATGCTCGCGATGAAACCTGGTATATATTGAAATTAACAAATACGTAATTGTGTTCTTTAAGATAAACGTCAAAATTATGTAATGTTTCGATAGATTTAGTCACAACATATTGCGATGCACAATACAGGCGCGATTGATCGAGTCAGCCATACTCTATTATTATATAGATGTACTTCGATTGGCCATCGGACGGCTAGCAAAAGATCAGAGATGTGACTAACTTACGAACAATACCTTAACTCAATATCGCTTAAACACCGTCGAGAAAAGACAGCGTTTTCGTATTGTACTTTCGATGGAAATATAGGAAAGTGCTCCGTCACTATTTCCAGGTTATGTATGGGGATTTTCGAACCCTGTAACAAGAGCAAATGGTGCCGTTCAGGGCTACATGAGAGAAATCATCTTATGACAGAACTTTGGCCGTCCGTGAGACAAAGCAAACCGTTATACGAAGCTTTGTAAAAGCTTTGGGCCGCCAGACAAGCTGTAAGTAAACAAATAAGCCTTTGTTTAGCAACGGAAAACATGCGCTATGCATCGCCCAAACGTTAGCCAAGGACGTGCCGAAAACGTTGGTACTTTTGTTGCTAAAAGTTGTAAAAAAAACTGTGACGTACACCTCAAGCTTTGACCCCAGCAGCAGATCATCATATTGATAAACCGAAATCAAACCCTTCAGCAATCTGAAGCAACTGATGGTAGAGCATGGGTAAGGCATGCCTAATAAATATGACACCCTCTCTCACTGAGACCCATTCTAGCGGAATTTGGATATGACATGTAACATGATTTCTGTGAAATAATGTCATCCGATAGCTACTCTGTGTCCTATTGTGTTCGGCCACAATACGGTCTGATAAACTCAGCTCAAAGGGAGCACTGAAAAGATCACCATAGGTTTTCCCTGCTATCAGCCTACGCGTAGAAATCGATTCGTACCATAGAGCACGAACTTGATTTATCGCCTAACGCATCCGATAACTAATATACCGTAAGTATAATAACATTAAGAATAATGGATATTTTCGTTTTCCTAGCGCACCTAAAGACGACCATGTCGACAGAAAATATAATGCTTCTCTGAGCAACTAAATGTTCCTCTAAACCCCTTGTTTATTTCCTTATTTTTTTTTCATTTTTCATATATTCATGAATTATTTAACGTGATATGTGTTGAATCTATAAAGGCTAGGTACTTACTTAGCTTTTCGTGCTGACTCGAAAAAATAAGGCTTTTAAGATCTCAAAATGAGCTTTGACTTGTTTCCCGAAAGGATTTACGAAATCCTCCTACATAGATAAATGTACTACAACAATGTTCTACTTGAAGGTTAACGATTTTCGAGTTCTTTTAGGTTTTTTTGGTGTTAAATTATAACAGGTCATGTTTTTTTGATCTCATAAAAATCGTCAGGTTTTAATTGTATCCTAGCAATAAATTGATTTATAATGCGTTCGCCATCATTCTTCACCACCCCCTTCCATCTCACAGCCAATTAAACTATTTTATCTCGACAAAAGTCTATACATATAACGTAATGATAAAAAAAAAAGTGCTAAAGGATCTATCGACGCGGCTATTGAAGGTTTCTTTTTTATTCGAAAAAAGTTGGATCAGCAAAAGCCAAGTTGGAGGAAAAAGTTGTTCATCTGGAAAAAGTTAGGATCGGCAAAAGCCGGTAATTAGCCGGCACAAGGTCTAATATAGAATATGACGCATGCAAAACAACCTTTCGGTCAAGTTCTTTAGAAGCTAGCTTTGAAGATTTCTGTAACGTGCGGCCTGAAATTGTCGTGGAGAAGGAACAGTGCATCACTACCAGATTACACTGGCACATAGTAAAAAGTCTTTTTTTTTTCTTCTATTTTCTATAGGATATAAGCTGCCAGATTTTTTCCACAATTAGTAGTATTATATATTACGGTGTTTTTGGTGGTGTCGTCAGAGTCCTTCTATAAACAACAAATAAAAGGTGGTGTTAGGTAAAATTAGCTTGCTAATTAAAAAAAAAAAAACGATATGCTAAAAAATATAAGCGATTGCAAGCACAGGTTTAAAGCCAGTATGCTCTTATAAAAGGCAAGAACGATAGAATGTAAACTGTTGTAATTGAACACAAACACCCTAAAGCTGCCTTTGCGAAATCGAACAGAAAATAGTTGTGCCTAGTTTATCCGATTACCGCCGGATTTTAGCTATTCACTGTGTCTTGGGTTATTCCACTAAATGCAAACTACGGTTGTTCTAAAATGAAGATCTGATTTAACGTTGAGCTTAGACATGTTTTACATCGACGTGAGGGTACAATCCTTCGTTATCGGTACCAGTTTTATACGAAGTCTGGGATTGTATCTGCGTGTTGCTCAGTACCGAGCGAGATATTAAGAGGCAATAAAAAGTGAAACACTGAAGTTACTAGTTTTTTGATGAATCTATAGATCCAAGATACCTACAAAGAATGCTTTCAGACGCTGCTTACTAATCATCGATGGCGACCGAAATCATGCATCCTCCAGTTAGAAAATGCACTTATCGACCTTTGTCGACCACCTTTGAGTTGTCCTCTTAAACATGGCGTTCTTATCGTACACGGCACAAATATACAGGTCTCCTGTAGCAGCTTTTGGCAAAATGCTGTTCTGTAAATGCATTTGTTTTATCAGGAATATATATTTTTGGAGCTAGAACTAATGAAATCATATTTTTCAACCCTTATGGACTTTTCAAATGATAACCCTATAATTTTTTTTTCATCAATTACAAAGACATTATTAAAAGTGGCTTTTAAGACATTGGGCTACTCCGATTCGGCCTTACATTTGCCTATACCTGCAGTGCATAATAAACCAAACAAATGACGACTAAATAGGCTTCCAAGTTGGAAAACAGGTAGGTCTAGAGTTGAATCAAATCTAGCTTTATTTGGAGAGTTACTTTGTCGAACCGTGAAACTCCATTTCCTTTTATCGACTGTAAATCGATGACCATACGGTGCCCTACTGGAGCCCTTGTCGTGTCAGGACCTAGTTTCTGTCAGTACCGCTGCGGTGCCCTCCTTTCTAAATTCTCATTTGTTCTGGTAACGACGCAAAAAATGTCATACCCTTAGATCCACGTTCGGTCGCACGCACTTCTGTGAAAATTAGGCTGCAAGGACACCTAATCCCAGAAACTTTCTTTTTTTAATTAATTACAAATTAATGGTAGTACACAGAAAGTGACTTATCTTGATAACTAATTAGGTTAGCTGGAAAACACATATGCTGGTCCTAAGCCAACATTGGCTCTAGGCGAAGTGCACGAAACGAATGTTTGAATCAAACTATTAAACGGCCCAAAAGAACCTATCGTGAACTATGTGATTATGAGAACCCCTAGACGTGCCATGCAAATAGAAAGATGTATATTCGGTGTTAAAAAGTCCAAAGATCGTGAAATAAAAGAAATAGGTATCAGTTCCAGTTCACCCGAAATGATCTTTCACAATAAAGTCATACTTTTTGAAAACAAAGAGAAACAAAATTGGTAAGTATGTATTCCTATGGCTACCTTAAGTTCTACGATATACACATTTTGAAGTAATAATAATCATCATCATAAAAATTGCATAGAAAGTGCAGTTCGGCAAATATTAATTAAATATTATAATTAAAAAAAAATAAATTTACTGTTTGATTTGAAGGGACAAAATAAAAAATCGGTTCCATGTTCCACAATATCCTGCTCGTTGCTTATACCTGCATATATGGTCGTGTACAACGGATAACTAATAATCTATTAGTTACAATAGTTCGTGCTTCATCAATTTGTTTAAAATAATTTACTTTCTTATAGGTATAATACCCTTTTTAAGTGAAACTGACTAGGTGCAACCAAGACGTAGTTAGTCGCGCGTCCTTCGTGTGGTCCGTTGTATACAGAGGGTTCGGAACAGCGATACGCATGTTGTCCTAGCAACGGATGTCCACCACAAGCTAGAAGGCCTCTCCCCGCTGGGACTCGCGTCCTTAACTCTGCACTCGCACAAGTAAGTAAAATATAAGGACTTAAATATCACAGTACCTATATTTTGAACTAGATTTTCAAAGCAGTCAATTTATTGTCGAATTTCTGCAGACCACAGGATCTCTCCTACGATGAGTCGCGTGGCGCAGATGGGACGATACAGGTTGTCATCCCTAGACGACCTTAACAACGTTTCATTCAGGTAGGAGCGTTTATGTTAGCTTTCAATTGAACTCAAATAAGTAGTTGACAATGAAAAATGATGGATGAGAGTGAATAATAATAATTAGTAAATCACTAAAAATCTCTACGTATTCTCTATAATTAACTTGAAGCCCAACGCTTCCCATCTGTGATAGCAAATCAGCAGACACTAGCAGGATAACCTAAACTGCTTTTCTCGGTTTTTACCTATTATATAAGTATTATGGTGAACTTATATAATACACTATGGCTATCGAACGAGTTGAACTGGATTCATACATTCATTGCCAGCAAGGGACGCACTGGACTAAATTATTAACCATTACATGTATTGTTAGTTAATACAGTTTTATCCAAGGACACATATTGTACGATATGATAGAATGAAGTAAAGGAACTACCGTAGCTAGGCAGCCTTAATAAGCTAGACGAATAAAGAGAACCATAGCTAAGTCTACAGCTATAGGACAGAATTTCTCCAATTTATTTGTGTTGGACTAAAATTGTCCCTCATGTCGGTCCCTCACACGGTATTCAGCGCAGCGACTTAATTTTGCTTCAGGGCGTCTTTGGAGCGACGTTCGACGGCGTTCGATTTTGGAAGGGTAGGATACACAACGGCAATTTCTGAAGAAGCGGAAAGCGTGGAATTCCGGTGGCAGGAAGCGATTGAATATCCCGGTCCTTGTACTATGCTACGTCCCCAGGAAATAGCTCAAAATAATCCGGCCCCGCGTCGAATTTTTACAATAACTCAGCAGATGATTGAGAGTAACGCGTTCGATGTAAGGCAACCTTGGCTGCTATTACTACCAGTTGATTAAAAAAAGATCGCATTTTAAAATTAGACTACAAATAGTAAAAAAACACTAATGCAAAACAGTACACAAATATGTACTTAGTAGATACTTAGTTGTTAATGGCATAGGTTAAGCCTCAACCTCCCACGTACCTGGGTTATGTGCTTGCAACAATCTAGCCAGTAAGCTTTACCATGACATTTATACCTAAAGTAATCCAGGCTAACCAGCAATAACCTTCGAGCTTTTTACCAGGTTCCTGAACCCATCGAACTTGAGCATGAATCGTTTTTGGGAGAGCGACGGAAATATAAAAATCAAAAAAAAAAAGCCCGAGGGAAAAAACGAAGAGCTGCTGGAGAAGAGAAGGCCGGTCCACCAAATCTGCTAGTTTTTGGTCGAAGTCGACAGCTTTCAGATACGGTCCCCTTATCGCAAAAAATGCTTGTAATGGCGCTTCTGGGGCGGAATCGACCAGCCATACAACGCTTGTAAGTGTTACAACAGCATCCTCTTAGCTGGCTGTGAGTCACTGTTCCATCACTTAACAAGTGCGGCATTCGTTACTATTTATTTTATTAGTACCTAACTAAAGTTCCTGGGAGCACAGGAATGTATTTGTCAACAAACGAAGGTTGCAAAACATATGTATGATGTATATAAAAATATATATATACACATATATAGATGGTAACGATAACATTATGAAATATATTCACACATGTATATATAAGTAGCGCGTGCTCGGAAATCTCTGAGGCACATTCAACGCAGTCGAGTGAGTATGACGCATTATACTCAAGCGGACTAATTATCTGCGAACTGCGGGTAATATTGGACAACGCCGGTTATCAGCTTTGTGTTATCCCAGATTTTTCTTTGGAACCCTATCTTGTCAGAACAACCCACTCAGAAGGTGAGTATGTAACCACACTATAAGGTTATCCCTCTAAAGTATATTTTGTAAATACGCACAAAATTAAAAAGTACGTATTATACTTACATAGTATAATCTAACTGTTATCAACGCTTCCATCAGCCAAAAGAAGGTTTTACCGTCTCGAAACGAGGCTTGCTGAACAATTCGAAAATTTAATCTAGATAATTGACTAAATTTTTATGTTTTTTTTTATGTTCTGTTGAACATAGACGATCTCTATACCTTCGTTAAGGTTTTTTCAACCTCTTGGTTGGTTTTTTAGGGTAAGGTTTTTTTAGGGTATCCATTCTGATCGAAGACCACACCTCGTCAAAGAGAGAAAGAGACATAATGTTTTCTCTGACAAAATAATGGCACCATTCTGATATAAATTTGACGTCACGTTTCCATTGTGACCAGTTTGTGCCTGATAAACCAAAGCAACAAGAGTATGACATCGGCTCTTGTCTACAAGGACCCGTTACTCCCGCATCCAGTAGCACTCGCCTACCACTCTTTTACTCGAACGCGTTATGGAAACTAACAAGAATTACCCTATCTAGTCGTATGGATTGGCGCTGTTTTAAATCTCCATAGGCAACAAACGTTTTATTTGGTTGTCCCAGCTTCTAATGAAGGCTCGGGCCTGTGACATAAATGAATATAGGTACACACTAATAAATATAATTAAATCCATAAACAGATATAGAGTTAAGGCCTTGATTTTCAAACAACAAACGGATTTGTGCTAAGGAGTTTAGAATTATTTTTGCGCAGACTTGTTAACTTCAGGTATATTTATCATCTTCATATAGAAATTCATTCAAAATTTTTATGTGATACTGCACAACGTAGAGCCTAATGATCTACGTGTATGTACATATGCCAGCTTGCTGTTTTTAGACATATAGTATACATGCTATTGCGCCAAGGGAGTATACCTCAGATGTCTCAGTATCTCAATATTTGTAGGAAATGCATGACACGTTCCGCGGAATTTGGGCCTATTGTGGCAAACAGCATTACGTAATATCTTCAATAATTTTTGATAGCGCCCTTTTAGCAGCAACAAAACCGCATAAATGCACAACTCCGAGATGGTGCAATGAGACGGTGAGAGGGAACTCGATTTTTGACCTAATCATTGAGAAGTCTGGACGCGTTTCTGAAACGAGTGTTTTTCTCTCACGTAATATCTGTAAATCCTTGTACCATTACTTGTAGTTAGAGCAAACCCGGTTTCTTTTCAAGTGAATTGTAGTAAAATTGTTATCCGCTCCTGAGAGCAAAGTCTGCAAGCTTTCCAACTTTAAAGGGGATTTTCAAAACAGGTCCAGCGTGGCTCGTGTGAGCCTTCTGCTAATGCTTCAAGAGTAAATCAGCAATTTTTTCACAAAAGCTGTTTTCATTTGACAAAGCAATAAGGGATTACAAGCTGCTCTTTCGTTGGGCTTTAATGGAGAAATACGTACTGTTTTATCGACCCTTTTTTAAGCCAACAATATATAGGATGGACACATACGCATATCTATTTACTAATGCCGTTTGTTTGCTCTGCTAATTCGGTTACTATTGGTTAACGTGATCTGACAGACGCCTACTGTTTGCAACTAAGCCTTCTAAAGGATGACCTGGCACCGCTTCAGCCGCCTAGTGAGGACGGTGTTGCAGGCGTAGGATCTGCAGTTCGATTCGCCATCTGCCCAAGAGAGACCATCCTCCACAAGAGGCGTGCACAAATGGCCCTTGCACAGCCAAAAGAAAGCCATGTCAGAATCAGCATTTTCGGCGAAATTGGTTTGTACATAACAGAGAGAGCATTTGAAAAACTATCATTTCAGTTTCATAATCCTATTGAAGAATTGATCATCTTACTTAGTGCTGTTTTGCATCCTGGCTCCAAGCTGGCCTAGTTTCACTGAGGTCGACAGGATGTGAAAGGAACTAGCGAGGGTCATGCTTTTCTCTTGTTATGTATTTGATTATATTAACTGGCGGTTTCTGAGCCAAATTTGAAACGAGCGTTTTCTCTATATTATATTATAATTATTACTGAACAAGATATGCGTCATTGTAATTACCACGTCTTCTGTCATTGTCCTGGTAATACTATAATCCCATCGTTGTGCGACCTATGGGGTTTTCGGGGTGAAAAACCATGATAGGTGGTTATTGCAAGATTCCACTGAAATTGAACTAGCATCATTTTGAAAGTTCTGCAAAAACTGAAACAGATATTACTCCGATGGTCTAGAATCTCGATTATATGACAAATACTCTTTTACGTCAGGTTGTATGGCACCCAAACATGAAGCTTTCTTTGGGGTCCGCTTTTTCAAACGGTCCAAAACTCTTCGGCGATAAATCCCTAGTCCCTTGGTGATATCATGGTTGCTTACGTATCGGTCTTACTCAGTTCTCGTACTAATTTCATGACCTTTTTCCACAATTAATCGGTCACTATGCGGATCATCTTTAACATGAAAATTTACAGAATGAAAACAACGAAACCACCTAAGCCGTTTACTTCGATAACGCATTTTAACTATAAACAGCACTTTACGCACCTTCGAGGCGCTCTACCTTAAGCCTGAATAAAAACATTTCAATAAGTTTAGAATATATACTATTGCCAAATCTGAGCTTTCAGGTGAGGCTAAACACGAGTCGACTAATATTATTTGAGATCTGTGGCCTTAAAGCAATCTAGCATCCACAAAATTATATATGTATATATATATAGAGACGATACATCCATATGGATTACTTGATGGCGTCTAGTGTTGCACGCCTTGATCCCAATACTAGATGACCCTCCACCTCACTTAAAGTTTGCAAGTTGACACTCGCTAATTTAGACCTTTGTGGATCAATTAGTTCACGACCCCGCGTAAGGAGCAATTTCTGATAAGCTGTATACGAAACATTTACGAATCGGCATAGTCAGAAATTTATATGACGTAACGCCCGATCTATAACGCTATGCTCAATACCTCTAATAGTTATATCAGCTTGGGTTTATAACTCGTGGATGGAAAATGTCCATATCATTTGTCTTTGTTTGGCTTCGTACGCACCGAAATTAAGCAAGCCTTTTAGGCAGTCCAATGAGCCCCTGAACACGGACATGGTACTTCAGATCGAAGATAACTTTGAATCAAACTTGGAACTCAATATTTCATTTAAATTATTTCGCCAAAAGCATAAATCACTTATATATAATTTATATAACGTCTGCTCGTATATGTTACAGAGTGCGCAATAGGTTTCCCGAGAAACCAGAGCATATTTGTTCTGTACACCTCGTCTTCTCCAAAAGGTGAGTATCCTGAAACGTATATATATATATATATATATATATATATATATAGCGCACGATCGATCATTTCCAGCATGCCTGTTCTTCGTTCAAATCTGTGCCTTTCGTTCAACAAGATGCACAAATAAGCAGTAGAAAGACAATTTTGAGCCTAATTAATCCTCGATTTGTATACCCCCAACGTGCCCGGAAAGATCGCGAAAACCCTTATATAATTTTAGAAAATACGCAGCGGCAACTTTAACGAATATCATTTTGACGAGTTGAGCTAAACCGCAGTGCTGCTATAAAATACATTTAATACAATCTGGATGTAAAAGTATATCTTAAATTCTTTTAATTGTCTGTGAAGCAAACCAGATCTAGATCGAACCATACTGGTTCAGAACTACTACATACTTTCTTGATATTGCTTTAAGCTCCGTTCTATAGCTGAGAAGGCAGATGTTGCAAATAATAGTCTATTGACTACAATGTTCTGGACTAGAATCAAGTTCAGATTAAACAAGAACTGAATACTATTATTTAAGTGGATTTCAATTAAGTGTACAAAGATTCTTGCATGTTTGTATACTATACTTTAGTTTGTTCGATATTTGCGAATTTGCAATTTCTGAATCGTCTTATAGGCTGGAGCCTGTTGGGCAGCCGGCGAGAAGACGAGCTCAACGCGACCTTCAGTGCTACTTCACTACTGAAACGAAATTCAGACACGGGATCGTGTGAAACGGTAGCAGTTCTTGGACACCCATTCCACTTTAATTTTACTTCGACAGACGAGAACAATACGCCAACGCTACATTTTAAGGTATATAAACGCATTATTACCATAAACAGTAAATGTTCTGTTTAATTTTTCAACGGCCCATTCTGTTGGACCTTGTCTTCTTTCTAGGAACGTTTACGTATACGTTTACAATCCCCGTTAATGCTGTTAGATAGAAGCTGCCTTAACCTGTTTGGTATAAGCGCATATAAAAGTGCTTAGATCAATCACTCAACCCACGAATGGTCTTCATCACAAAACGGTCCACTTGAATATTTAATTTCATATTGATATAGGCAAGAAAAGTAGCCAATAACTTGCCATGTTCTTCAAAAGAACCTGTAATCAAATATAAAGCGGACAACTAGAGTTCAAACAGACTAAATAAACTTTTACTTACGTCTAATAAAGGTACTGGTGATAGCCTTTCGTGAAGCATTCCTGTTCTCGCTGTTGAGTCTGTTCTGTACTTGAGCACAACAAGCTGACAGGCAGGAATCGAACAGAAGTTTTGTGCTGGGATACCATAGTACTTTAGCTAGTATAGTTGGCCTCTGAAGTGGTGCAGAGGTAAAGTGCCTGTTTACGAAACTTGAACCTTAAGACAGAGATTTTGTTTCGCGTCGTAGGTCAGCCTGCTAATGCAATGCTGAAGTAGCTCCAGAAGTAGAAATCGGAACATTCACTCTTTCCAGTTAGCAGAAAAGAAGCAGAAACAATGAACTGCCATTGTGGTCCAATAGCCTCTAGCTTATTTCTGCTTCGGCACTGTTATGAGTGATCAGAAGGCTATGGCCGCCGAGTCGGAGGGTCAGCGTACTAGAGAGCCTGTGTTTTCGCCACAGCGCTATGCGTCCTTCTAGAACTGATTCCTTAACAGGGAAAGAGAACGGAAAGGCTTGTTCCGTTCTCCTGATGAAAACATCATTAGCTGTGTCATGATGTTGCATCACTTATTCCCCTTTTAAAAGTGACGCCATATTCAGACAGAATACTTTAAATAAAAATTAGAACTGAATAGTAAAACGAATCCGAAGGGTAGCGATACGGCATGCCTTGGTAATTTGGACTTCGATTTTATTAGAACACTACACTTTTTAATTATTTTGGGATTAGGAAAAATTAAATTTGATGGGATGTAGATACTAGCAGCTTACCGAAGGAGTTAACGATAGTTCTAAAAAGTCCTAAGGTTGTCAGATGTTACTGGAAAATGGTTTTTCCTACTACAAAAGCTTGGAGAAAAAAAGTTCAGACGACAGCTACAGACATCCTATGCGTCCTCGTTCAATAATTTCTGACAACGGTCTTTGTATGACCAATAACCATGACCGGGATAGAAGCTCAATTCTGAAGAAGCAGCCATCAAACCTTACAATGTATACAATCAAATTGATTTAAATGGAGTATTTTTAACGGAGGCCAACTCAGTCATAGATAACTGTCTGAACGTTTACGATCTTCGCAAAAATGGATAATAAATCAAAAGGCCTTTGTCGTTTCATCAGCGGCATTACGCGTCAGCTATCGTTTTTATCATAGCTTTTCATGGTGGGCATATACCCTTCCTTTCTTTAATGAACAAATCTATCTGTAGACGAAACCTGACTAGATTTGTTCCTATGTTTATTAGAAGCTGATGCAGGCAAAGAAAGCGTTTGTCTGTATCATAGATATCTACAATTATACCTAACGATTGTAATAACCACTGACGATTGCAGGTTGTGCACTTTGACCCAGAAACGGGTCGCTTCCATACGCTAGGTGAAGGTAGGAGTATTGTCGACCGAACCGGAAACAGTGTCCTACGAGTGCCACTTATACGCCGTTTACCGGAGGGACTTGTGGCTCGCCTGAAAGAAAGATTTCTCGGAGGCGACCCAGTACTAAGGGGCATCGTCATTAATCAAGTACGCTAAATGTTTGCAGGTTCAACGCCTGATCAATACAGCTCGGTCCAAACTATTTACCTTCTGTGTATAGACACATCTAAGCATACTGAAGAAAATGATTAATTATTTTCATTATTATTATCACTGGACGAACAACAGTAGATATTCCTGTTAAGTATTTTCCTGTATAATAAATAGACCGAGTTTGTTGTATTAATTAAGGGGCGTAACTAGCCCCGAGGTAATATTATATAATGGCCAGTAAATAATAATATGGCAAAATGGATAACAGTTATCTATCAATATAGCTAACGATAACTAATTTTTCCATGGATGATTACCTATAATTTAGTCACAGTACTAATGCCATTTACTACTTTCAGACTATTCCTAGGGAATGTATTACGGAACCAGCTGGAGAGCTTGCTATACGGATCCAGGTTGTTCGTCAATCACAAAAGTATCGTCTCGAAGATTTGCTAAACGAGTCCCGTCTTCGTTTGCTCAAATCATCTGGGTAAGCATTACAAATGATTCCCGCTGAATTTTAGTAAAGGAAATATGTACGACCTTTCTGTACCCCTTCAAACTTAGACTTACTTTCCTATCCATTGGTCGACTCGATTTGAATAGATCGCACAATCAAACTGATATGTAAACACACATTAAGGTGCGTTTCGCTTGTGGATCAGACATCTTTTATCGTACGACCCTCACTATAGGAGACAAATTGTAATGCTTCGACAGAAACAACCATGAACTATAAAGTCGACACCAAAATTATGATACTAGGCTTGACATCCTATTCCACATAGTTTTTTGTTCCGTGAACATTTCTTTTTTTTTTTTTTGTTTTATTTACATTTTCTGACAGCTTCCTCATGTAACGATTGTCTAAGATCAATCTCTTCATGCATGAAGCTATAGCCACCGTTTTAATAACAACTTTTTGGCGCCTTCAAAGGCCGACAAACCCGCTTTGTCCTATCGCTCTTCGCTCCGGCATTCTTGTCAAAACAGTAATAACTGCATATTAAATGGAAGAGCCCCGTAGGCAGAACGCTACGTGCTCATTAACCAGCTAACTAATATCGTCTGGCTTCTTTTTAGACGGACTCTATCCACGGTGCAAAGTACCCTATCGGCATTCCAAGAAGCGCGCGTTCGCATGATCCAGGCGCGTCAAGAGTAGCGACTCCTTTTCGATAGACCAACGGTCTCTTCGGCAGAGAGAACGAACAAGACAAACAAATATTCTCTACCCTACTTCGGCCTGATAACGAACTCACGAAAAACCGAAGACGAAATAAGAACGGTGACAACGGGGACGCATCGTCGCTTCTCGCTAGAGGCAAACATTATGGAGAGAACACTATGCACAATTCCTAAGTTAAATTCCGTCAGTGTCAACGTTCGCACAAATCAATACGTGTGCGTGTGAATGGCAAAACATGTATAGTTCTACTGTTAAAAATACTGGACGAACGTTAGGGCATTCCATTCGCAAGTTAGACTGTAACTCACTTGAAATATTTCAAAGTTAAGTACAGCTCGTTCCCTACCCGGTTCGTCGATTAAACGGCAGATCTCTGTAAACGGAGGCTGTATTGTCCGCCACGGATAGGTTCAGCATCGAACGTAACTTCAATATGTAAAAGCAGTGAAATGACTAGTACGGGGCAAGTAAGGCTTAATTTGTAAGAGCTCAATGCCATTAAATATCGAAATGTGAGAATCTTCAAGATCCTCCTTGGGACAAGCTAAATTCCTTTCAGGGCATCCAGTGAGTCCCGATGGCTATGATGCTAACTACAAACCTCCATAGATCATAGCTTTGAATCTTATTGCGCCATATATCCTTTTGAAATAAAACGTGTTTCGATCTTTATCTGACTGACTGCTATTGATTAAAAAACTTCGCCAATACGAAACTTCCCACTTCTTGATGAAGCGGTGTATCATCCGCTGGAAAGATTGAAGAAGATCGTAAACAATCATAAAGGACACTGAACATCTTCAGTGTCCTTTCTGATTGTTTCCGTGATGTGTTCCTTCATAAGAATAAAAAAAATGCTGACCTAATATATTAGTAGACGTTGTATTTGGAAGTGCCGGCTTGGGCTATAATATTTACGTTTGTTTCTTTTACGAAAGAGCTGGTAGCATATACAATAATAGTGACGATGAAGATATTTGTTGCTTCTCTTTTCAAGGTCATTGGCAAACCATAATGAGTAAAAGCTAATGATCGTTTAACTGGAGAATGATACAGGGCAAAAGGGGAGGCTCCTGGAGGTCCGCTGAATAATTTCAATTTCAAGTTATGAGTCCAAATTTCCTAGTCACGATCGCGTTGTATCAGTAAGTGTTCTCCACTTAGTAGTTACTTGAAAAACGGGCCCACCATGTTTTACGTTATATACTATAGGCTTTTAAGCGTCAAACAAAGGAAGCCTCTACTGATTTTCCCTGCTCTGCCACCCTATAATGTTGCCAAGATTATACGTTTACAGGTAGTTAAGGTTTCAGATTGGTGACAATAAAGCGACACCGGGGGAATCCCAGAATGCGACGCGACGATACTGAAAGATAATTTTTATCTGTGTTGAAGCTGAAGTTTCGTCATTGTGGAACATGACCTTGTGCCAAATACGAGCTCTGCTTTTTGATCACCAAATAATGGCTTTTATTATACATGGTGCAGAAACTCCTGCATAACACATGGTAAATTCTGTCGAATTCGTGAAGCTCGAATGATTCAATTGATCACAAAAGGTCCTACAAAGCCCAAAAAAAGTGCTGCAGATTAAAATGGATGAATTATCTCATTGTTACAAAATGTTTTTACATTGTAGCGTCACCGACTGCCAGAGTAATCAAAGCTGTTATCTAGCTGTCCATGGGTAACCGATAGCAATAATTTACTTGTTTAAGATACCCTGCTAAAATGGGGCGCAGCAATGTATACAACCCAAAAACTGACCTTTCTGTCGAAGTATCTAGCCGAGATTACGATGCGTCTATGTTTATTTTGCATTATAGACATCAATGCTTGCGCAATACATCAATACAATACATCGCTCCGTACCACTGGCACAATCACTTGACGTTGTCACCAAACAGACGTCATCAAATCGACCCATACGGATGCCATAGAAATACTCCTTTTTGCGAGCATCAAGGACCCAAACCATGGAACGACAACTCACAACGATCGCGTCATTTCGAAGCGATGTGTATATGGATAGACCATATTGGTAAGATCTATTGCGTTCACCACAGCTGCTAAGATCAATACGATTGTCTCACGTGATCAACTGCTCTAGAGAAAGAAACTTGCTTTCAAAGATGGGCCCAAAGAAAAGAAAGAGCCAACCAACAAATATAGAGAGTTACGATACCTCGCACACGGTAAGAACTTAGGACAAGAACATTTGCTCTAAGCAATACTCAGTTGCGATACCGATGGTGTCAGTATATCTTCTTCATCTAGTAATAACATCATTGTCTAAGCAGTTCTGGTAAGCAAATACCTGTAAAAAGAACTTATAAGCACAGATAGAGATAAAACATCTAATCCCGCCCTTTCACAGATACCATATAACATGTACGACTAAGTAAAGCGTACATACGACATATTACGTACATAATGTTACGGCTATGTTAGCTATAAAGGCTACCGCCTAAACTACATATGGTCACTTAAGAAGTGAAAATGTAAGCATAAAGAAGCTGATTTTTTCATCTTTGTTTTAATTTGCCAGGTACTCGAAGTTCCCTAAAGGATCTATTACTGTAATAACTAATCGACGTTCGACGCTAAAAAGCACACATGTTCCGTAAAATCGTTTATTTTTTGTTGATTTAATAACTATTTACCAGGCCGGGCGTGCAAATATAGGCGAAATGTTTTCGCCTTCAGACGTTCGTTAGCTAGACGACAAATATGTCTTCAGAGATTTATATGCTTGAGAATTCTTATTAATGCTGTTGTTGTCGTTGACCCTTTTGCTCACGTTATTTTTTATCGTCCATACCGAACTCTGCGAGCGTAAGGGATCTCAGGACTGTTAGGGGAGAGTCGATACTCAGTTGCGAATCACTGGGTTCCCATTTGTGCACGTTTTTTTTCCATGCCTTTGCTGTATATCATGTACAAGACCTGTCTATCTTATGTTGACAAAACGTTTGCCATAGAATGCAAGTTTTCTCTGTACGTTGCTAGTGGCCATTTGTGTGCTCCTCTCCGATTACGTAGCACAGTTTCTCCGATGTCACTTTCTCTTATAAATGTTGTAAGCAGAACAGGGTTAAGCTGGTTCAAACTTGGGGAGATTTTTACTGGTCGACAAAGCTTCCACTGGCAGAAGCTGGACACAGGCAGTACACAGCGGTGATAGACGCCACTTATTCTAAGGCTTGCTTGAATAAGGAAGTGCTGTCCCGGTAGGGACACATGGAAACTCTTTTTAGCAGGAAAACAAAAAGGGCCGCCGTTAGCCAAGACCGCATTGTTTCGGGTAATTGCGGACGTCATTAGCCTTATTGACCGTTCCTCAAACTCACCGTATTTATAAACAAATGTCAAATATAACTTGAAAGACTTCATAGCACGTTTATTTATCTAACACATTTTTACAGAAATGTGTTATTTTTTCTGGTCATTTGCTGGTTTGGGAGAAACCGCCGTGAGCTTTGTCTATGCCGAAGTACTGTATCTAGGGAGGTTCAAAATTATGAACCATAAAGACCTTAAAGTTATCCCAATGAAAGTAAGAGTAAAGCCATCGAAATGCCAAACAATAACTAAAGCAAGTACTTCTAGATGAAATGCTTAAAGCGGCAAGAAGTACTTAGACTGAATTGCTTAGGAAATCCTAGGCTTTTCCGTTGTACAAACCTGACCAGAGTTTTACTATCGACTTTTGTTGTCGCTCAAAATAAAACCCCAGTCACTAATAGAGATTATCACCATTCACCACCAACCCATAATGGGGCTCATAACGAATGTTATTCTGTGTTTGCGACACCTTTTATCAATGTTATAGAAGCATAGCAAACGGCATCGAAGCTGTCTTTTCTCTGGACGGCGGTCAAAAAGCAATCTTCCATCCTTACCGAACACTGGAATCGAAGCCTGCCAAGAACCGTCCCAAGAAAATTAGAAAAAATGTTAATTATAGTATTTGCAATAAGCAAATCTTACAATTATCTTTTACATCGAACAGATTATAGACCACAACTCGGAAACAAGTCGAAACTTCTTCCTACGTTTACAACCAAAGACGGGCTACAATGGTGCTCATTACACTTCGATTAACTATAAATTTTCATCGCATATTGAGCTTCAGACAGACAACTGCTTTATTGAAAGTAATCCAGACTGATCAATAAAACAAAGTAGAGCAGAAACAGTACAGAGCAGTGTTGGTGCTTTCGTTTTTCCAAATGCTCAACTTCTGTGAGTTACATGGACGGAAGTTTGAAGAAGAACTGCAAAATAGAAACAAAGGCAACTTTCTATGACAAACAATGGGCTTAATTACGAGTATCGCGGACATCCGGAAACCACAACAATAGACACGTTTAACCTGATCTGAAGAAAGACGTCCAGAGAGAGAATGGCATGTAATTGTTAAATATCGATCTAACAGGGATCCTTACGCGGATTATAGCGGACGGACCGAAGCGTTTCGATCCCATATTTGCGAATCTGAATGCCCAAGGTCCCTACGAGAGATAATGGGTCCTAATTCAAGCGTATGACATAAGTTTTTTTCGAGATTCCGTTCACAATTTTATGGATAGAGAAAGAGTAAACTGAGTATACAAAAAAATCCGCTAAATACCCGAGGAAAATTTTTTAGCATCTCAGCCTTAAAAGTGCCCACAAAGTTGTCTCGGCATTATTGCAATAGCCATTGTGACATTGTGCACCCCTTGATATATATAGCTATCTATACATAATTACCCAAGTACTTTGCCTAGACACTAAGTCTGCTTAAAATTATCTTCTTAGGACATTTCTCAATTCAGCTTCGAAAAGCTCTATCCATTTTGCTATGTTAGTTGCAAGCATTTTTTCTTTTAACAATCAATTAAGAGAACTGAATTATCTGTAATACACCATAGAAGTCAAGCATCACTGGCCTCACACGACACGATCGTCTGCACCAGGTTTACTATGCTGACGCTGTTAAACTTAACGTCTGGCGGCGATTCTGGCCTTTAATTTGGCTGTCCGGATAGACTCACAAACAGAGGAGAAAAACGTATCGCGTGGAACGTCACTGTATGTCGGATACGCCGGTGTTAATAATCATCGTAAGTTACCAACCGATAACTTTAAACAGAGACATAAACCGCGTAAGCGAATGCGCGTAAATGTAGTCATCCTCTGGTATAGAGTCATCTTCATACGCAAAACGTCTCAGTTGACTTTCTGTGGGCAAATGCAAAAACATTATGATTATAATAATAGTGAGAATGATAGTGTTGGTGTTTACAAAAAAATAACATCAATTAATATATTTTTCCTACGATATTTAAACGACCATTGAAAAATATTATTATTTTTACGCCTTAGCTCGTTGTAAGATATTGTACCGTAGAAGCAGGTTACGAATTCCTCATAGCATAGTGTGCATATGTAGATCGAATGGACGCGACCAGAGGGAGACGGAGGCGGGGTGATGTCGTGAATGAAGCTTATTATTAACCATAATTCGAAATTCCATTTTACACCTTCGTGCCAGGCCTACGTGATCCAGCAGAGGTGTCATCAGATCGAGCTATGTTGAGTGCAAACACAATAGCGCAAAGGTTATTGTACAAGGAATAAATCAATCCCACAGTGGATTCGAAAATCTCCAAAGTACATTGCATCGATAAGAGAGAAACGCCAAGAGGACCGTATGTTACAAATGTTTTACATACAATACTACCGTTAAGTGTTGCTTCAGGCTGCTGGTTTTCACCAACATGAAACGAAGTATAGTTCTTAAGATCATATTATGTGTTCCTAAGTTGACTGAGAAAAAAATGAAACGGGTAACGTGTTTAATAATTAGCTTTATCTATAGTAGGTCCCCCAATAGTGAGTCAGAATTTTCCGCAAGAAACGTCGACACCCCTTACCTTCTGATGCTGCTGTTGGGCGCAGCCGGCACCGGCCCATATTTCAAAACAGTCAACTGTGACATCGTCTTCGACGGCTCGGCAAATAGCTGCAGGTCAAATGGCTTTGCCAATAAACAGATTATGCGGAAGGGGCTTGCATGATCACTAAACATGTTTATGTAAAGATTCAGGATATTTACTTTCATGAGTTCGCTATCGAGTATGTATTTACTATTTCGCGACTCTTTCCGTACATTTGGAAGTACCAATAGGGCGCGTATGTTGGTGAAAATACACACATACGCGCCCTACCGGTTACCAGAAAAGTCATTTTTAAATAACAAAACAAGAAAGATAAGACATTATTATTAAGGTTAATAGGTACCGTTTCATAGGTCTATTGGGGGAATTCCAGATAAGTTAACAGAATCCAGCTGGGTTAGGCTTCTAGTGGGGGCAAGCTGCTGATGTTATATTGAAAAGGGGTGATACCGAGGACTTGTTGACATAAAGAGATTAGCTTTTTCGTTTTAGTAATGCAAAATAAGAGACTGCTTTGCGTGGGGATCTGCCGACGAATATGTGATGGTGCTACAAAAGGTCGGGCCCCTAACAGAGGACAAGAGAGAACGCGAAGGTCCTGGAGACCGGCCTGTGGGGTACAAAAAAAACACCTACAAATCGCTCGATTAAATTGAGTTGTTGAAGAGTGTGGAGGGGTGATGAGAGCAGGGGTTACAAGTGAGAACGTGTTTACCCCTTTGGATCTGTCTAGGTTTAAAAGGTTGGATTCATTTGACAACAATAAAGGTCAAATGGTTTGCCTTTGCTTTTTTCAATATTGCAGCGCCCCGACCTCCAGGTAGCGGGCTGGCCTCATGTTTCACTTTTCTCATTTAATATAGTTAAACAAGTCTCCCACATAAACCAGCCCTTTTAATAATAATGCAATTTCAATGGCCCAAAGGGAGCCCTGTTGTTTTTCTCCATGGAAGATTAATTATGAAAACAGTTGATGAAATTATTGGCAAAGTTGAGCAAGGCCGACACGCACGTAGTTATAAGATTGCCAAAAAATTAGACATCTACCATCAAACATTTTCAAATAACTTAAAAAAGGTTCGATATTTGGGTGCCACATGACTTGACGCAAATTTAATTTTCACAGTCATATTTACAATTGCACACCGAAATTGAGCCATTTCTATTGGGCGAAGAAAAGCTTCATGATCTCTGGCAAAACACGAATTGACGACAAAGCAGGTTATGTTATGTGTTTGATGGGATTGGAAAGAAATTGTGCATTATGAGCGGCCGCCGCCTGATCGATACAGACCCACAACCATACGTTCAAATAGAGTGAACTACCGCCGTTCTCTGCCATGGCAATGCCAGACTACATACATTCTTAGTTACCCACCAAAAATTGAGACAGAGAAGTTAAAAGAAGATTACATCCGCCATATTGCCCCGATTTTGTACCAATAATCTATTAACTGTTTTGGTTTTT